GGGAGCCAGCAGGCCTGACCCCAGTCAGCAGGCCCAGACGGCACCATCCCTCTCCCCGCTACCTAGGCTCCTCTGGGAACGCACCGTCGCCCCAGCGCCGCTGTGAAGCACAAGCCCTCGGGTCACGGCCGCTCTCGGCTGTGCAGTCGGTGCACTGCAAATGATGCCAAGTGCCGCGGGCGCAGCTCCTGTATGCTCGTCCCACCGACTGCAGCTTGAGCGGAGCACTGATGTGCAGCAGAAACAAACTCCTCCAGTCTTGAGCTGGCAGGGCACAGCATAGGCCAGGCAGGGCACCACCCGCAGGTGCCCCATGCGAGGTTGGCAGTGATGACCCCAATTCCTCTGCCACCCTTCTGCACCAGGTCAACGTCCCCGGCCCAGCAAGCCAGCTCCCCTGCCACCTCATCCCACTGCTTCCATAGCTCCCACCCTGCCAAGGAACCGGCTGCCAGCAGCATCCCAGCCCCACTGCCACAGCAGCCTCACCCCAGGTCCTGCTTCCCTGCTGCTGTCATTCCAGACCGTGAACTGTCTTACCACTGGTCTCCCCCTTCCTGACCGAGGAAGATAAATAAAACAGCAAAGCCCATGGCCAAGGTGTTTCTCTAATCAGCTCATGCTTCAGTCTTGGGTTCGGGCAGGCAGCTGTCAAACAGCCTCTTCATTTCTATTCACCTGGCAGGTACCTATGGGTATGTACAGGCACTGATACCGGAGCAGCGCTGAACTTTAAGAGCTGCCATCCAAAGCTTTAAATAAACAGGGACACAAACCACCTCATGTAACAGGGAAGTAACAGTACCGGGATATTTTCATTTCACATTTTTATTAGTAGACAGATGTGCAGAAAAGACAAAATATAACTACTGGAGGGGAAGACAACACAAAAATGCATCAGTTAATTCTTTCTGGTAACTTATGCTGAAGAAAAAAAAGGAAAACATCTGGGATTTCAGCTAAGAAAACTACTAAGAAATCTAGTGTACCCTGCTGGTTTCAGAATGGTTGAAAACTGCATTTGAAGGGGCTTCTAGTTGCAAATGTAAACGCTAATATTGGCTGAGAGAGGAGAAGAGGGTTAAGAAAAAAGCAGAACACACAGGTCAAGTAAACATTTTTCTGCCATTTCTTAAATAGTTTCAAAAAAACCTCATACTTCAGTTTTTATCTCAGAAAAGGAAACCAGCAATCAACAAGCAATGACCCTGCACGGGACAGTCGGGAAGAGAAATTAAGTCTGGTTCAGGTAGGAGCTCTCAAAATAGGTTGATTTCTGTCATTAAGAAAGGGTAACAGAAGAGTCATGATAACGCATCTTACAACATCAAGCTTGAAAATACAGGTCACTGGAGAGTATACAGTGAAAACGGTCAAAGTACAGGGGAAATCCTGAAAGATGCAGTATCCTCATTTCCAACCAAGCCATCAGCACAGCCAGCATTAAAAAACCCCCCCCCGCCGCCCCCCCCCCCCCCCCCCCCGCCCCGCAAGCCGGGGGTTGGTGTCCCTGTGCCCATGCAGCCCCAAGACCAGTCCTGCAGGAAGGAGGCCCAGGGACCCCTTTGCCAGAACCGGTGCTGCCCTCACTGGGCTGAAGCCGCGCGTGCCCCACACCATCGCTAGATCCAGAGGATCCCTGCTGCCAGCTCCAGAAAGCACCAGGGGCTGGGTCCGTCCTTGATGGCAGGACAAGCTCAAGCAGCATCCCACATGGGACACTTCAGGAGGGGTGCAGCTGCCTCCCCCAGGTATCACGCAGGCAGGAGGGCAGAGCCTCACAGGCACAAGGTATGGGCTGAATTTACTGTGCCGGGGGACATGCTGCGGGTACACCTGGGGCAGGGGAGCAGGCACCGTCCCTGCACACCAGCTCCTAGACCAGAATATTGTGGAAACACAAACGCCTTACTTCAAATGGAACCGCACCAGCCTTCCTCCACCCCCTACCAAGGACTGCCTTCCCCTCCTCTCCCCCTCCAGGCAGCAGGCTTTGAGCTTTCTCACTCTCATCCCACTCCTTGCCCACCAAAGTTTTCTCCCACCTAATCACCCACCGAGGGCCTGTGGCTGGTGACGTACCATTGAAACCTCTGAGATGTGGGAAGGGGAAGCACAAACATCTCCCCAAGCCTGCCGCTCTGACCATGGTCACTGTGGGAATGGAGGGTCTCGTCCGAGTCGGGCCAGCACCTCAGGTCTGTCTCGGGGGTGCCAAGGCTCCGCACAGGAGGGCAGGGCTGGCTGCTGATCAAGGGATCACGTGAAAGGTGAATTCAGGGCACCGCAGCTGAACAAGAAGAGCACGCACAACAGGGTGAGGATGCTGGCAGACTGAGGAAGAGTTCTGCAGAGACAAGCATGCAGGGTCCCCCCTGCCCGCACAGGAGGGCCCTAAGCTCTGCCAAGGCCTCCCAGAAAGCATGCAGGAGACGGAGCTCGGTGCAGTGGCTGAAGCATGCTGCTAAAGAGCCTGTCAAACACTCCTCTTCCAGCCTGAAAGCACTGTGTCCCCCTGTCCTGTGAGGCTGCATACCCTCGCCCATGCCCCAGCCAGCCAGGTGGGGGAGAGCCGTGCACACACACGCCCCCCCTCCGTGCCGCCGTGGGCACAGGGTCAGCTTGGCCACCCCAGGCAGGCACCAATGGGACCTTAGGCTTCTGCCAACCCCGCAAAGATGCGTTTACCAGTGCATAACCTATGTAAGTAACAGCAATCAGGCTCGGGCCAGCCGCAGACGTGGAAGCAAGGCCTGCTGCAGGAAGCAAAGCCTGCTAGCAAGCACTGGGACAGGAGGCTGTCTTCTGTCTCTCCCACTGCCAAAAACAAGTGCAGGGTGAATCCTGGCCTGCTGGATGCACATCTGTTCTCCTCCCTCTGGAGGGGGGCAGCTGGAATCAGCAGCATGTATACACTGAAATTTTTCAGCCTCAAATTAACCTGAACAATATTAAAAAATAACTAGCAACCCAGGGCTCAGTTGTAGAGACTTGAAGTGTGAAGTGTTTATTTTAGGGTTCAGATCACAAGCCTCTTCCAGAGACAAAAGCTGACTGTGCCTACTGGGGCTCGAAGGGGCCAGCTATTTCCTTACTTGAGCAGGCTGAAAAGGAATACTGTACCTTTCAGAAACATCCCATCAAGCTCAACACACAGTAGCTTTACACTCTCTGCCCCACACCTTATAAAGGAAAAGCCACCACCACAAGGCTAAACGAATGTACACACGCTATTATTGTAAATGGAGCAGCTAAACCTTGGCAATATGCTTTATGTCGATTTTTTTTTCTTCCCAGTAAATGCAGCACTTGAGCTCCCAAAAACCCAGCTTCCAATGGGTTTGTTCCAGCTTTAAATACATTAAAACATCTCAATGCAAGACTGTATTTAATTCAAGAATCTAAACGCGAGCAAACCTGTTTCGTTGTGAACGTTTCGTAGAGAAGTGGAAAGGGGAGTTTCTTTTTTAAAAAGAAATCATAATACAGTGATGAAAGGGTTAAGAATGCAAGAATTCAGACATTCTGTGGAGGGTCTCTAAGAGGTCCATAAAAAAGGAGCAAACAGATCCATACAACAGGAGACAGCAGGAGACAAAAGTTTGTGGTTTTTCTGATCCCCCCCCCAACACTTTTTTGCTGGACTGCTGCTAGGTTACCGCTGCTCCCTTCTGGCCTGAGTCGGCAGGGCAGTACAGGGGCATAGAGGGAGCAGGTCACGACTCCTCATTGCCAGAATCATCATCGTCGTAACAGTCGGCATCCTCCTCCTCCTCGTCTTCATCGTCAATGTCGTCATCATACAAGTCGTCATAAAGCAAATCTGAACTGTTGTCATTGGAAGGCACTTTAGTTTTGATGCAGTACTCTGCCAGCGTAGTGGGGACCTTCACGCCATCCTTCTCTGCCTCGGCTTTAGTAGCCAAAACCTGTTTCCTGTGGGGAGAAGGACACAGCAGCATGAGTGGGGCTGTGTGCCAGCGGCAGCGCGGCTCAGCTCCCCAACCCCAGCCCACCCAGCAGCTCAGAGCTGATGTCAGCTGAGACACAGCAAGCAGCACCAGAAACATTTAGTTCCTGCAGCCCCCAGCTTGGGAGCACTCCGAGGGTGTTTGCAGCACACACACCCCTAGCAACACAGGTCATCAGTTATTCCATAGGACTCCACATGAGACCTGCCAGTGCTCAGAGCACATTTCATTACGTTTGCTACAGAAGGGATGGTCAGGGGTTCCTAAGATGACTTACCGACTCACTGATGATCACCACAGCATGCTCAAAACTGCAATTTCCACAAGCCTTTGCAGCTCTGAGCTCCCACGGGAGGTAAGAGCAGCCGGAGCACACAGTTGCACCCCGAGACGCAGCCGTAACCCCGGTGTTGCCTGGGGCTGGCAGAGGCCGAGTGTTTCCTGTCACTCCAGGACAGGCTCGGGCTGTGACCCGCTGCTGGCCCGTGCCGCCTGCCAGCAGGCAGAGGCAGATGGCAGCCCATACCCTCACCCCTGCCTGCTTGTCGCTCTGCCATACTCTGTTTGTGGAGCACATCCAGCTCCTCTGAAACAGAGGGACTTGGAGAGGACGGAGCTAACCTCCTAGCGCGGCTCTTCGCCCAGGCGGACTGCCCTGCACAGCTCCAACCATGGGTCTATCCTGCCCGCCCAACTAGCAGAGTCAATGCAGATGGGGTCATACCCCCGGCAAGCACGGTCCCACTTCACTCCGGGCCTGCCCATCAGCCCTGGCTCACATTTACACCACTCCCTACAGAACCCCACAAACCTCTTGGAAAACGACAGTCAAGACTGACCGGCATGCCTAGCTAATCAAACCCAGCTTGGCAAACGCTTGCCAAATCCCACTGATACTCCCTGGAATCAGAGGGACAAGATTATGATTCATGAGTGCATCAAGCACAGAATTAATAGGATGCAGTCAGTTTGAACCACATCCCAAGCAACACAGGCAGCACTCAAAGGCAACCAGGGACTTTGACTGGGATTTACTAGCAGCCAATAGTTTTGCAGAGCATCCTGCCAGAGGAGTCTGCAATAAGGACATTTCAAAGACTGGTCCTCCTGCTCCAGTTTGCACTGCTTCTGTGTGCTGAAAGCCTAGACAGACCAGACGTGTGGACTTAGCATACAACGGTAAAATTCATTTCCAAAGAAGCAACCACAGTAAGAAGCTGTTTTCAGCAAACTCAGCAAGCAGCCTGTTTCACAGGATTCAAAGCAGGATGCTGGTAGCAGAGCACTGCACACAGCAAGGCTTACCTTATGATTTCAGCATACTCCTTGTCTTTTCCTTTACTGTCCCTCCATTTCCTGAACATGACTGATGCGTCCACATTGGCAGGAGAGAATGTGTTGGGCTCGTTAAGCAAAGAGATTACACTCAGTAAGATAGTCCTGAAAAAGGTAACCACAACAGCACGGTCAGAGCTAACGCATTCACGGAACCTGGATGCCAACAACTTCCTTAAGTGATGCACCAGAAACTTGTTTAAAGTCAAAATTTAAGCTAAGGATGATAGCTGAAGTGAGAGCAGGGATTTCGGAACTGCAGACCATGGCCATTGGTGTAGCGAAGGTGACAATACAAACCTCAGGGACATAATCTGACTAGAGACCACCATGTCTGTGCACACGTTTGTCAAGGGGTGGCAGCTAAAGCTCGGATCGGACCCTAATTCAGCTTGTCCACATCATCCACGGATAACACAGGGCTGGAAACCTGGTTGGTGAGCCTGTTCCTGGTGATACTTGGCCTCCCAGCAGAAAGCCAGGCTCTCTGCCTGCCCTGGCATGGGGCGAAAGACCACTCTGACCCAAGCCCATCAGATGAGGCTGTACTGCCTTCCCTGCCACATTGGGTGTTTGGAGGTTCAAGCCATGGCCATGTCCCCTTCTCCTCAGCCCATGCACAGCTGAGGCTGCTGTAACAGCACATCAAACAGAAGATGGTGTAGAAGTTTTTCAACATCCAGGCAAGCTGCCAAAGGTGCAGCAGGATTTGGCTGCTGGCACTCAGCAAAGCCAGCATGAGGCAGCCACCTAACCCCCAGCAGACAGAGCCCTCCTGGATTTCTGGCAAGAGCACAGAGCTATGAGCTGCCCTGCTCAGTTGGCATTTACCAGGGCAAACATCATCTCCCTCACCCAGACCCTTCTGCATTTCCTACAACCCTCAGCATGTCAGATTCAGCCCTTTGCCACTCACATGGTGCCACAGCAAGTCCCATCAGGCAGCTCTACACACCCAGGCACCTGGCTGTAGCTACCACTGCAGTAGCTTCACTGCTCAAGGTGGTCCTGCCAGCAAGAGCTTTCGATTTAAATGGAAGAGCAAGAGACAAGGCATAAGTCTTGAAAACCAGCAGTACATAGCAACTGCTTTGCAGAACGTGATTAAAGGAGACTACAGCCTCAGCTGCACTTGCCTTGATTTAGGGGCACATTCAGATCAGCATGTGCTGAGCACATCTACCAGATCATGTATCTGGGATACAATTCCAGGAAATGCTTGGTCATTTGGATGCTAAGTTTCTTGAAAGGTTTTGAAGCTAAACACTGGAGTCTGGCCAGATTGCTCAGCACAGTTATCAGAAGAGTCTTCTACAGTTTATTTTACAAATGATGTAATTCAGGAGGAAAAGGGAAGAGCAGCTCTGGAAAAACACTGTCTGGTCAGACTGGAATGATGGGCAGAAGAGAGACCATCTTCCATTTCACCACAAGAATTCATTTAAAAGCCTTTTGTTCTCAGAAACAGGCTGTAAAGCCAGCATGTGAGCTCCAGCATCACTCCAGCAGCATTACTGCAGAGCAAAGTCTAGGGAAGGCTGAGGATGGGAATATGTGTCTGGGTTTAGCATCTGCTCTACCACACTTCCATCAACGAAGTGAGGCGAAGAGATTTACGCTGTGGTGCCCCAGACTGCAAAGTCAGCGCAAAGCTACTTAAGTACACCAAGGCAACTGTCCATCAGAGGCGAGGCTCTCAGCACTCTTCGTTTCCAACCAGCCCGTTAGCTTCCTCACTGCCAAAACCTTAAAATCTGGACAACCTCCTCCAACTCAACCCCTGCTACTATGGGTAAACAAGGTGTACATGGTCCCTGAGCAGGAAGGGATCCCAGCACATGGGATCTGACAGGACTAAAACCACAAAAAGGTTCAACCACGTGGGACTGAAAACATCCTCAGCATCAGATATGAGCCACGCTGGGCTGGATACAGACCAACCCTCTCCAGTACTGAGATGGATCCATTTCTCTCTCAGGAAATGTTGTTCTAGCAGGTTGTTTCATGCAAGCTGATTGCATCAAGAGTGGGGATTTTAAGCCTGCCTTCTGCTTTCTTACATCCCTTACCCCATGCTGGGGAACAGTGAGCCTGCCAGCTGCCTTATCACTTCGTTTCAAGTGTGTACAGTGCTGTTGTCTTCAGAGCAAGTCCCCTTATACCCCTTGATCAGCAGGGGAGAGAAGCCAGCAGAGGCCAAAGGAATCAGACCTGTTGGGTGCCTTTTCCCCTACACGTATTAAGAAAAGGCTCAGCCAGATGAATTTCATCCAAAACAGACATAATGCAGACTGCCTGGGACTCCCAACCTGTTATGTACTCCAGCATCCTGTTATATACTTGGTTAAAAATGATTTTTTTTTTTTGTTCCAGCTGCAATCCTGTGTGCCTCAAAGGACAGAGGGGAGACAGGGGAGGTACAGAGAAATGCAACTGAAATGAGCATCAACTCTAAGCCCTGCCACCACTTTCTCAGTTTCACAGGACACGGGAAGACCATATCCTCTGCCACACAGATCACAGCTGCATTCCTTCACACTGCTGGATGTTGCTATATTTACTTACACCTGCCCTACCTGGCTCTGAGCGATGGGAAAGTCCATACTGACTGTGTTTAAAAAAAAAAAATAATGACCATGTGCAACACCATAAGAGGTGGTGTCACAGGCCAGAACTGAGAAGAGTATTCAAGATGTTGGTACATCTTTATCTTGTCAAGATAGGTGGTGTCTCACTATTGCTTTGTTTTCTGAGGATGCCCGCTTTTTTTGGCTGCCTGAGATCTGGTAGTTTCTGCAGCCAGCTCAATGCATGAACATGACTGTCAGTACATTCTAAGCCAAAACTTTTTATTCTATATTGGAGAGCAAAAGTGTGCTAGGACAAATCTGTGTCTACCTGTAAAGGTGGCTCAGAGAGGCTACCACGTGGATCGCAGCTGGAACAAAAAAAATAATTTACAATGAAGTATAACAGGTGCCCTGAAAAGTGACAATCCTCCCTCCAGACACTTCAACGGTGGTCGCCTGTAGCACACAGCAGGATTTACAGAACTCAGCAGCTGCAGGGAAGCCCCAGGTTGCACACACAGCTCACCACAACATGCACTGTCAGCTTCCATCCGACTCTGCATGGGCAAAGCCAGACGGGAGCCCAGCAGGGCCTGCTCCTGTCGGCACTGATCCCAGCAGGTGATGCTGGCAGCAGCCTAGCATTTAAGGACAAGTTTTATTCCCACTTGCTGATACAGCTGAGGAATGTTTTCTCCCCAGATGTTACCCTTAAGTCCAAGGCATTCCCAGGCAGTAAGCACCAAACTGCCACATGGTAAGGAAGAGCAGAAATCAGACAACTAGCACGGTGAGAAGTTTCATGTTCATCTTTAGGTTTGTATGTAATGAAATACTCTAAATGTGAATGTGAGAGAAGTAATTAATGTCCACGGCTGCTTCCTACCAGTTGAGGCTTGCCACCTAGTCCTAACGATTTCAGATGTATGAAAACAGTTTAATAGCCACATACGCAGAGGGACACGTGAACATAACTATCAAGCTGGTTTTTTTCCCTTCTTACAACTCTGAACTAGAACTTTGAGAAGTTGCTTCATACTTACTTGTACTTGATACAGATGGATTGAATAACATTTACTTCAGGCTCAGGAGGTCAACCAAACGCTTCACGACTTCACACAGCTAAGACAGCATTTCTCTTGAGCCTTTTTAACCTTGAAGTAGCATGCTCCAGGAGGAGCACCAGTTGTTGTAATGTGCTGACTGCTGCAATTCCTAGCGTCCTACCACATTAGCTGTAGTTTGGCACTTGGCCAGTGTGTGTGTGCTACCCCTTGCTAGATCTTTCCTCTGACAAAGGCCTTTTTTAAATGAATTTCATTAAGCCAAGTTAGACGAAAGCCAAGTCAAACTATCAGGCAACCCTTTTCAAATCACTGCACTCCCTCATGTGTGCTGAAATCCCCAGCTGTGTTTATCAATAAATAACTGAGATTGCAAGCTGGGGAACCAACACATGATATATTACTCTGAAAGCAAGCGTAATTCCCACATGATATGCTAAAAATCTATAGAGGCAATTATTTTAACTTTAATCTTATTCATTATCCAAATAAGACGCTGGAACAGGAAGAACCTTACTTCACGGTTTTTAGACTGCATCACTCACTACTCCTGCTACACATATCAGTGAGCTGCTACTGGACATGGTTTTTATCTGTTCTCTATTGGCAGTGGCTTGTAATGAGAATGGAATTCAGCTGGTGTTTCAAAAAAAGGGACAGGTTAGCCTTCTATGCCACTGGTACTTAGGGATCTTTCTTTTCTTGGCAGGAAGAAAACTATCTGGCTAACTGCTCAAGGTAGCACACTGCAGACAGGAGAAAAATAGTGGAAGGCTAGCAGTAGGTTGGATTATGCACAGAGTTACTCCTACTGGGCCCAAATGTTCTTTCCCACTACTGGTATCTTGGAGGATTTTTTTAAAACTTAAGTGAGGATAACACGGACTGGGAAAGGCTAGACCTTTTGAGATAATCCGGTTTAAAAGCATGAAACCCTGTGAACAGTACAGAAGTCTCCACACTGTTAGCCCAGCATCAGAGCACAGCAATAGTGGAAGGCTAGGATTATGCACAGAGTTACTCCTACTGGGCCCAAATGTTCTTTCCCACTACTGGTATCTTGGAGGATTTTTTTAAAACTTAAGTGAGGATAACACGGACTGGGAAAGGCTAGACCTTTTGAGATAATCCGGTTTAAAAGCATGAAACCCTGTGAACAGTACAGAAGTCTCCACACTGTTAGCCCAGCATCAGAGCACAGCACTCCACTACCTTCAGACAGGTTGGTAAGTCTAGCTCTCACCCAGCTCAAGACCTAAAAACCCCAAGTCTTAAAACACCTTCCAAACCTTTCCCAACACAGGCATTAGTCTTGGAGGTGACATGCCTTTGAAGTCACAAGTATACACATCAGATTCACAGTTACCTGACATTTTGGGTAGGGTTCCACCTCTCAGATGGCAGCTCTCCACTTTGTGGGTCATCTACAGGTGGGTGAAGGATTGAAATACATACATCTCCATTCTGCAAGACAGAAACAAAAGCTGAGCATAGCCTGGCTTGAGGTAGTCGTTTGATGCCCCAACTCCATCGCTCTGGCTACGTTCTGAGCAGTTTAACCCTGCTGATGTGGACACCCCAAGTGACAGTAAAAGTATGTGCAAGAACTGGAAATAATTTTTAATTTCTTCCTGGGTCAATGTATGTGTATGTTCAGAAGTCTCCCTTGCTAAACAGAGCTTGTCTGCAAACTGGTACAAAACAATCCCAAGTCAAGAGGTTTAAAGAACGTAGCAAGGCAAGCAAAACACATAATACAGTCACCTAACACTAAATTACTCTCCAGACAGCAAGTACTGTCACAGTGATAGAAAAGAGCTTTAATCACAGGAGACCCAAAGCAGGGTTAAAAAAATAAATCTGTTCCCAGTGGTAGCAGAGTTAGCTACAGGAATTTTTGAGTTGAAGGGTTTAAGTGCACTCTACCAGCTCAGGTATCAAAACAATTCTTCTCCTGGGACACAAGCAGGCTGAACAGATGGTGCAGGGCAGGCTTACACTTCTCTCTTAGGACACAGCTGTTTGGAGTACCAGGTGGAAAAGCAGGAGATGCTCTCTGAAGGCTTCACTGAAAGTCCATTCCAGCATGCAAGAGGAGAGTATTTTGGCAGTATATGGAAACCATACAGCCACATAATCCTCAATTTGTGTTTTACTTACCAGTGCTATAGCTTGACTACAGATTGAAAGCTCCATAATGCCTACCATTTATAAACACCTTAAGAAGCCTGTAAAACCAATTCTCTGTCAGCAGCAGCACTCTGACACGATTACTTTGCAGGAGTCCTGTAGCAGTATTCACCATGGCTGATCTCTCCACTGAGGTTGACTCCATGGACCTGTGGGGTCCCAGTGCCTTATTGCACAATGGTGTGAAGATGCAGATGTGGCCTGAGGTCAACCGGCAGACACTGGCCTCTCCAGGCCCTGCCCGCACTTGCAGCCAGCTGCTTGAGCGACTTGTGAGTTCCCAGAGGCAGCCCCACACCTTTGGGTGGCACAGCCTCAGCTGATGAACATCACCCACACTGTCCCTTGTCACCCTGACCCAAGGCACAGGCTGCTGACAGGAACAAGAGAGAAGCAGCAGGTCAGTCCTGTTCCGCAGGCTGACAGCTCCCCACACACCTACCTGGCCTCAGCTACGTCCTGAGAACCCCAAAACGCTGCTTGACATAGAAGCCAGAGCACAAAGTAGTGCTGCTCACAGCAATGGCATCCATGCCTTTGAGCCCGAGCCAGTGATCGCAGCTACAGACAGCAGCAGCTCGCCCGAAGCGCCTCCCAAAACATTTCAACTCGCCTTGATTAACAATGACATTTGTTTTATAGACAAACAAGATCCTACTTCAACATTGGAGGCTTGTGATCGGTATCCAGATTTCAGCGGCTCACTAACCCTGCCAGGTATGCTAATCTAGCAAGTCCTTGTCATTTTGAAGCAGGTTTTTGTCAATAACACAACTATGCACAGCAACAGCACACCTGGAGCTGCTGTATACCCACAAGCATGCACTTAGGTTGCTGGAACAAGGCAGTTTCCTTTTTAGGACTCAAACAGGGTTGTGCAATCTAGAAATATTTAGCATCATTTTAAGGTGAAGTTAACCTTACTAATGTTATGTTCACAGCCTATTCTGGTTTATTAGTAATTTCTGTGAATTTACCCAGTGTTTTCTTTAACAACCTCCTGGGAGAATGCAGTGCTGGTGACCTGGAGAAAGCATAACAGCTTGGGAAATCCCTCAAGTGATCAGGTCAGCAACATGTGGATGAGCAGATATTTGGCAATATGAAAATACAGAGGCAAGAAAGTATGTGAGAAGTTTCCCTCTTGCAACAATCAATGTTTAGAAAGCCCAGCAGGGCAGCACTGCAGTACAGAGTCTGGAAAGCTAAAGGTGTCATGAGGCCTGATGAGACGAGCACATGGTTTTGGGGATCAGTGTGGTCAAGAGGAAAGCCGTTCCCTACTTATGTTTTTGAAAGATAAGCGATGAGGGCAGAGCATTCACCTGCCAACGGGAAATAGCCTATACATCTATTAGGACTGAGAATTGTTACGGCATAAAAATGAACAAGTGAATGCAGTTTCACCAAAATTCAACTAGATGACCCAAGTAAACTGGAGATGGAGAAAACACACAAGTTACTGAAGTCTCATTAGTCAGAACTGGAACAGCAGCCCCAACCTCTCCATCTGGTCTCACCATCAAATCCTGTACATTGCTATTTTCTTTCATCTTCCTCACACTGGAAGGTTTTTTCTTCCTCCTCCTGACAAACCCTCAAACCTCAAGCCCTTTGCCGATTTATTCACAGTTTCATTTGGAGTTATCCCAGTGCCTCATCTTCATTGCTTAAATGTTGTTTCCAAAACAGCCTGCAAGCTGCTTCAGATTCCCTTAGCTCCAAGAAATACTGCTATGAACACAAAGTAGAAAGATGAGAGCCAGAGTATTTGAAGAGTAACCCCAAAATACACCCATCAAGTTTTGGGTTAGTTTCTCCTCCTACCTTCAGTTGTTTCTAGAGCCAGTATTTCATCTTTCTCACCAGATCTGGGGGAGGTCCTTTCCAAGGCTCATTTTGTACATACCAATTTGGTAACTATTTCCCACTCACATCCTGCATGAGAATTTCTGGATTCAGAATCAGCATCCACAGTATGGATTTGCAATAATCTGCAGGTCTCAAAAGTTGTCTTTATTTATAGATCAAACTCCCATGTAACTGAAATAGAGCCTTAAAGAAAAACATCCTTCATGGCTATGTGCAAGATGTCCCGAGTCCAAAACTCAAGCCACAAGACTCTCAGATCACCGATTTCAGGGTGTCCCTGAGCTTAGGGCAATCCTCCTGAGCATCCAGTAATTAAAGCTGATTACTATCCTGTTTGCACCCAAGTTTGGAGAGGCTTTTGTCCATTTATTACTAAGCTATCAGTGTGGTTTTCACCATATTTCATACACACTCATTCCAGGTTGGACATTTAGCAGCAACAACTTGGTAGAAGAGAGCCTTCCGAGCCCAAGGCAAACTGAACCTGTCACAGTAAGGAAGAGAGTGCCAGAATGGCACTGTTCTGATGTGGGCCCAAAGGAAGCCTGCAGAACCTCTCACAGGATGAGCTGTGACAAGGTGACAGAGCTGCACCACAGGAATAATCTCAAAGGCCTTCCGCTCCTCCAGCTATTCAACTAGTAGCCCTAGCAGGCTGACACTTGTCTAGAATATCCTGAAGTTTGGCACAGATCTGACTGGCCTCCATTAAAAGTCACATTCTGAGCCAAAACAGGACTTCCGCTTTCAAATACAGCTCTATTAAATTCAATAATTTTAAACTGATTGCTACTCTGTAAAATCATTCCCCTTCTGGGCTGGCTATGTAGTGGTACCATGACCCAATCACAGACTTGGAGGCCCACAGCATTTCCCTCTGGACATGACCCCTACAAGAGCCACTTCAAACGGGCTAGTGGACATTACATCCAGAGGTATCTGTTCATTGCAGTCCAGGGTGACTGAGCTGTGCATGACTTCTGAAGCTGGACTCCAGCCCAGCTCTGGTTCTTTCTGCAGTCGGAGCATCCCAAGTCCAAACCCATCTATTTGTAGGCTGACTGCCACAGAAGTTTTCCATTATTTCTCATCTCAGCATACAATTTTGTAGGACATACTCCATTTAAAGTCTACTTGAACTGAATAAAAACCACAACTAGTTGCTTAAGTATCACAGTAGCTAAGACCCCACACACCAGCCTTGATCTAAGATTCCCCTAAAATTGCCAACACTGATGGCATGGTGTGCTGGATTCAGCCAGG